AAATCATAATAATTATTAAGTAATGTTAAATTATTATTTCCTTACATGTCTAATATTCCATAACTGCCTAGTTCTCATACCTTTGAATAGATGCAAGGCAATTCCAGTATGACAATGTGAGATGAATATTATTTATGGATATGTTCACTGTGGAAAGATCTCAGCCAAAATTATGAATGTAAGAATGACTTCAGATTATCAAAAAAGCTAAGAGAAATAGGACAAAGGCAAAGCTGTGACAATAGTGAATGTTGATTGGATCAGAAACACTATTTACAAAGGAAAATAAAAATAATAACCGCAAAAGAAGCAAGTTCCTAAAACATCTTCTCTATCAAAATGGGCAGGACTACAATTAGTCATTTATTCCTACTTGGATGATGTCATCATACTAGGTTTAACTGCTTTTAATAACTAGAACTTTTCAGTGATCTCTCACTTTCTCCCACATAAGACCAAATCAGCCTCTCAATGACTTATTCAGTGAGTCATAATTTTTCTGTTTATATTCAGAAAAATGTCTTCAGTCAGTATTTCCCAGACTGCTATGGGTTCATTCCAAGAACCAATTTTTTCTTCATGGGTTTCCTACAGGAAACCAGACCAACTTCCTATTATTTTATTTTCCTTGCTTTTAGCATACCATAGCCCACATCAAATTAACTGGGAGTGAGAGTGATATAAGACTTTTACACCACCCAAAGAGAAGCCAACATAAACAATGCCCAATCTAAAAGTCACAGATTCAAAATTAAATATAAAATGCAGTGTTTGAAGCATCTTCCAAAAAAAACCCAAACAATACTTATTTTTATTATTCTAATTACAAGCATCCCACCATAAGAACTTTTCTAATTAAAAATATTGTTTATGAACACAGTTAATCCTACAAAGGTGATTAATACAAAGAAGTTCATTGTAATAAATAAGTGTTTTTTCCATCTTAATTTCTGAATAAGCTACTAGAGAAAAAGCAACTAAAACTCCCAACACTGACTAGGGGCAGAACAGTAAATCCCAACTCACAGAGTGAGTACCGGGACCTTTATCCCAATGCCCTCCCACATGGAAATTGCCCATAAAAAGAATCAACTTGTCTTTTGATCACAGCAAGAACAAAAGTATGCAAAATATGATTTAAAACGACATGCTAATTGTGGCTATATTCATCTTTCCATTCTAAATGAAGGCATTGTTTTAGATTTTTGGAGCTTATGTTGTCATTAACCAATAACAGAACTACTTCATATCAAATATGGAAGTTAATTCATTAAAAGAAGAAAGTCTAAAGTTCATACATTAAAAGAAGATAGTCTATAAGAATGCACTCAAGGTAAATACTCTACATGGATAAACCAAAAACCCTGAAACAGAACAATAGTTCTCTACATGTGGGCCCCACGCTAGGGTCAGCATGCACCATTCTAGACATGGAAATTTTCATATCTACCTTGGACCTAAAATTTAAAATATTCTTGGGAAAGGCCTAACAACCTAGAGAAGATGGTGATATGAGCTTCACTTATCATATTCTCTCTCATCCTTCCAGCAGGAAATTCTAGAAAATAATGTACTCACTCTACATGATACTCACTATACCACAACTTATAAAACTCCTGTGTTCTGGCTTTTTCTGTGCCATTACTAATACCTTTTTAAAAGTTTTATGTTAGACAGAGGATGTAGCTCAATGATACAGCATATAGCTGAAAAGTAGGTAATCTTGGGTTCTACTCCCAATAATACAAGAGTAAAAAAATAGAGGTAAAAGCCACTACTCTATTGCCAGTGACTATGCTCAATCCTCTCTGCTTTAGACTCATCACCTCCCGCTTGATATGGCCTAAGTTCTCAACTTCAAGACAAAATTCCACCTACTTTCTTCACCCTCATTTCTGCCATCAGCCCAACTCTTCCTCCTGGTACTCTCTAAATATAGGTTCATTCTGTAGTCTCTCCACTTTGCATAGCTGAGTACTTCTCTTAAGCATCAAACATATTTTAACAACCTCATGAATTGCTCTGAGTGTTCTTCAAATACTTACATAAAAACATCTTGTATATTTCCATCAATTATTTGATACCTTGAGCATGGAGCTTTCCCCCCTCCCTGGTGACCACAGCTAGTGGGCAGAGAATTTGAGCCCCACCAGACATTTGGTTATATCTACTTGCTCCTTTTTCTAATGCTGTCCTCATTCCAATGTCTTCTTCAGTGGCACCTCTAGATTATGACCTCTAAGACATAAATGTGAATATATTTCTTCTCTGTTCAAACTCAAAGACTTCCCAGACATAGTCTAGCTCTCTATCTAGACCATTTTCACATTTCCTCTTCAATATATTTTTTGCTCAGCTAATCGTACAAATGCCTATCATATTGCCCATGAATTTCTTCACCTCTAATTCTTTGCTTTATGTTACTATCTCCATTTCAACTCTGTTTTCCACTATAGCTATACATTCCTTCCATAGGTTTCAAACTAGAGCCATGCATCATAGCACCCTGACACCATCCATCATTCCTTAGATGGATACTCCCCTCGCCTCACTATACTCTAAAGACTTAAAGACTCTGTGCCAGCTTTTGGCACTTGCCACCAACACTCGTATTAAAGTTGAAACCCTTTTCAGCAGAAGTAGACTTCATATATCTCCCAACCTTCCACTATACCATGCGTGGTACAAGTACTTTGAATGAACTATGCACTGAACAAGTATGTGTGAAAGGATTAAACAACCTTACAAACCAAAATGTTTCATAAAGCACCATTCCTTTAGGAAAAGGAGAAAAAAAACTACAAGAACATAAAATTTCACACACGTAATAATTTAGAAGAATTTGTATAAATCAATATTCCTCTTACAATGGTATCAAACACCAGTGTGTTCACTGAATAAAGAAAATATAACATGCTTTTAACTTTTTAAAGAAAAGACAGGGAAGGGATTATATAAGTGAAAATTTATAGAAATTTCCCCATCTTCTCACCATGCTCATTTATAGCTTCTAGAAGTAGCAAACTACCTACAATTTAAAAGGAAAGTTCATGCCAGGCACTGGTAGCTCCTCTCTGTAATTCTTGCTACTCAGAAGGCTGAGATCTGAAGACCACAATTCAAAGCCATTCCAGGCAGGAAAGTCTGTGGGAATTTTATCTCCAATTAGCCACTAAAAAGTCAGAAGTGGAGCTCTGGTTCAAGTGGTAAAATGCTATAGCCTTGGGTAAAAAAAACTTGGGGACAGAGCCCAGGCCCTAAGTTCAAGCCCTAGCACCACCACAGACACACACCAAAAAAGGGAACCTCTTCATGGCAGGGAAACTGAATAACAAAGTATTCACTCCAAAATATTATGTTTTGTCTGAAAGATATTGTCATGGCTGATCAATAAGGTCAAAACACAGCCAGTAAATCATAATGGAGAAGACAGGCTGACTGCTTCAATTATAGAAAATGAAGCCATCATTCCTGAAATCAGAGTTGTTGCTTCTTCATTGGGAAGAGAAGAGATAAACTTTCAAACAGAAGAAGCATGACACGCTGGGCGCCAGTGGCTCATGTCTATAATCCTAGCTACTCAGGAGATCGGAGGATCGCAGTTCAAAGCCAACTTGGGCAGGAAAGTCCATGAGACTCTTATCTCCAAAAAACCACCAGAAAACTGGAAGTGGCACTGTGCTCAGTGGTAGAGTGCTCGTCTTGAGCTGAAGAGCTGAGGGGCAGTGCCCAGGCCCAGAGTTCAAGCCCCATGACCAACAACAACAACAGTAACAACATAAAAAAAAGCATGACGCCCTTTCAAAATGGAAGAACACACTGAAAATCAGTCAACAAAACAGCTCCACTCAAACCTAAAAAGTGATGCTTTCCAAATTTTAAACCTAGATATAAGACAGAATTACCATAGATTAAGAAAGTGAAAGGGGCTAGGTGTACAGCTTTAATATAGTGTGTGTTTAGCATGTGTGAGATCCTGGTTTCAACCCTCAGAACCAAAAAAGGTGGAAGAGGGGATTGTTTTTCCTAGACATTCTTCAAGGTTAACACTTTAGAGAAAAACATACTATAAGGACTAACACTCACTTTTTGAATTTACTGTTATAAGACTGAGTTTATTGCAATACTTCATTAGATTGAGCTCATAATTTCTTCCTTAAAGGAGCAATGGTATACCATCTTTTACATTGTTCACACAAAACTGGAAAAACATCACTTTACATATGCCTTGAAATAAAACTGTGTAATTATTCACTAAGCCATAAAAACTGTTAAGATTTTTCTGGACTGGTTTGGTTTCTGCCTTTTTAACTTAGGAGTTATTTGCTTTTATTTCTAAGTCCCACAACCTTCCTGAGTGAAAAAAAAAATCTAAATAAAATCTAGATGATTTCTGGTTTCAGATTTCATTCACCCAAGAGCAATATAATATAGCCACCAAGATATGAGTCAAGCAGATGCTTAAGTCTGGGAAGGGCTTCTTGGGTATACTGTGATTTGTTCCAGAAAGAATGAGTAAAGAAGATAGTCCCAATACCTGAGAATCTGAGCACAGAGAAGTCATACTGAGGAAGAAGAGGCTAAAAGCTTTCTTTCATTAATCTTTACTATTCAAAACAAAAAGTTAGTTCAGCTAATTTTAACATCCATTAGGGCAGAAAAAAATATTCTCTCAGTCTGTCATATAGCCACCACAAAACTTAATGTTAAAGGTTTTATTGAGTTACATCTTCTAGCATTTTATAAGAATACCTTATTCACAATGATGGAAAATGGCAGCAAAACCATCTGACAAGCTCAAGGAACAAGCCAAAATAAACAAAAGCTCCAATAGTAAGATTTATTATGCTACTGAATTTCAGAGACGACACCTGAAAAAAACTATCAGGTTTTATTAAAATGTATTAATCAAATTAATATTGAAGATTAAACTTGAAGTCTAGGATCACTGGTATTGCAAAAAGACAGCTAGAGTACTCATAACAATGAAAACAGCTTACTTTGACATGGCTCTGGGCGCCCAGATTGTAGATCTCTGTAGGTTTTACATCATTGATGATCTTCACAAGACAGGTACTGTCAGTAAGATCACCATAGTGCAACTTCATGTCTTCAGGATTTAAAAACAGGACAATAAATAAAAATTGAGAGATTCAGCTTTTGAAACGTGTTTTGTAAAGGCAAGAAAACCAAGTGCCAAACTGAACTTTTGCCAGGAACAGTAGCTTTGGGTACCAGCACTCAAAAAGTTGAGGCAAAAGATTATATATTTAATATGTTATATATTCAATATGCATATATATTTTATATATTATACTATATATATGCTGCCCATGGACCAGTGGTTTTGTAAAAATATTGAGAAGCAACAGACACAAATCAAACACTGAAGATTACAAAAACACAGCCAGAGAATTCATGACAATGACAACAGCTTATTCTGACATGGCTCTGGGTCTACAGGAAAAATTATATATGCAATCTATGTTTTAAAGGCTTTCTAGTATAAACTCATATAGATCATAATATGACAGGTGCTATACAAATAATATTATATCTTAAGGCTCCAAGTGGTTGGAAGATATTACATGAGATTTAAACAAATAAAAATCTTGAAATAATGTATATAACTTTTAAAGAAATCTATAATATACAGCTAATAGAGACTACAGCTTTAAATTTGATACTTTTTATTTAGATACTTTTTTTAGTACTTGAGTTTGATCTCAGGGCCTCATATCTGCCACTTGCACCACACTCTTAGCTATTTTTGTTTTCGCTATTTTTCTGGTATAATCTCCAGGTTTTACCTAGGGCTGGCTTCAGACCTTCATCTTTGTGTAGCTGGGATAACAGACACCACAATGCCAAGCTTGTTGGCTGAGATAGGATCTCACTTTTTATTTGGCTGGCCTTCCCCACTTCCCCAGTAGCTTGAAAGATATTTTAATCTAGCAATTTTTAGTGCTTATAAGAATCAATCCTGAAACTATTTTATGATATTCTTAAGGTAGTAAGACAAGACATTTGCCTGTAAAGCTCTAAATCTGGCTGATCCTTACACAGACGTAATTAGTTTTAAGAATTTGCGTCACATACAGTGATGATTTGCTAACTTGATATTGTCATTATTTTTATATATTGATTTATATCTAGATCCAGTGGTAGTATTATTCTTTACTATGAACAAAAATAAGAAAATCTCTAATCCAAAAACTCAAAATCTGAAGCACTCAGCTGGGTGCTTGCTGGTGGCTCACGTGTATTATTCTAATTACTTGGAAAGCTAAGAATGAGAGAATCACTGCACTAGTCCAGTATAGGGAGAAAAGTACAAGAGACTATATCTTCACAGAAAGGAAGCTGGATATGATAGTGACCACCTGTGATTTCAACTACAATGGGAAGCCCAGGCATGAAACAAGCCCCTGTTCAAACAACTAACCACAGGGCTGGAAGTATGGCTCAGTGATATTACAACAGCCTAGCAATCAGGAAGTCCTGAGTTCAAACCCCTAGTATTACAAAAAAAAAGAGAGAGAAAAATTTAAGTTAAAGTACTCAAAATTCAAAGATTTTAAAGTACTAACATGATGCCACAAGTGGAAAATTCCATACTATGAAACTGTTCTGTATACAGCACCAATGGCTCATGCCTATAATCATAACTACTTAGTAGGCTGAGGATCTGAGGAATGTAGTTCCACACCAGCCTAGGCAGGAAAGTCCATGAGACTCTTATCTCCAATTCACTATCAAAAAAAAAAAAATGTAAATGGAGCTGAGGCTAGCCTTTAGCAAAAACAAGCTTAGGGACAGTGCCCAGGCCTTGAGTTCAATCCCCAACACCAGCACATATACACACTCACAAAATACATCCAGGTTATATGCATGTTATATGTAAAACAAATACATTTAAATAAATATTTAGATGTGTGTATATATATGCAATATACATATATATGCAAATATTCTAAAAGCTGAAATAATTCAAAAATCAAAAAAAACTGTTCCAATCATTTTATATAAGTGATACTCAGCCTTTACTAATTTTCAAGAAAAATACACTTAATGACTAAAATATTACAGAAGGAAGTCTTTTCTGTAAATAATTAGACCATCTTCCTGGAAATTTACCACTAATATAATAACCCAAATATCAGGGTTACAAGCTGTCTGTGTCATCTTGTTAGCTAAAAACTGGCTAAGTAATTTAAGCTGAACTTGGAGCTAAAGATCCTATGTCCTAGTCCCAGCTCTGCCATCTTGTCAAAATCACAATCTCTCTCCATCTCCTAATACGCAAAATGGTCTCCCTATCAACTTCAGGAGTTGACTGATAAATATATATATATTATCAAATAAGAAAATATTGTGTTTGCATTGTATAAACTACACAGCTTTAAACAGGCAAATTTATAATAAAAATAATAAGATCTTCAAATCCAGACAATTGATCTGTACAGCAGATCATTATAAGGTCATCAGACTTGGATCAGTCTTCACAAGTTATTTTTAAAATTAATTAAATGTCCAAAGATTGATTAATTGGAGTAAAACAAGTCAAATATAAAAAAAGGAAGAGTATTCTTATAAAATTGAACCATTCCTACATAAGGAGACAAGGACACCAAAAGTGAGCTGATCAAAGCCGTCTTTTCTTGGTCTCTGAACCATTTATCCAATATTCTTCCAACAGGCAAACCAAGAAGACTGTTCTAGGATAGCAAGCAATAGATGTGTAGGACATACCTGATTATAAAAGAAAAACTGTAACTAAATGGACTTTGAGAAAAATGACATTTGAAAACATCTTATCTGAAGACAGATATTTTAGAAAAAGAAAATTACTTACTTCCTTCAATATGAGCCTGGGGATTCTTATAGAGATGTTCAATTCGACCTGTATTGAATGAACTGGATCGCCGAACAATTCCATGGACCTGAGTTTTTAAGTATGGAAAAAGTTATATAAATTTATAAATACGCAATGAGAGTAAGCAACTCAGAAGCTCTTTTTCTAAGGTATGGTTCTATGAAAAATATAAATATTACTTATAAATATTATGCATAAATAGTTAAGATACTGTTCCTTGGCCTACTTTTCCCCACTCATTGTTTGACAGCTACCAGCACCCTACCTTTCTCCAATGTTTTCTCTGCTAATCTTAACTGAAGTAATTAGATAATTACATGACTTCATACTTGTAGATACTCAAATGTCTCCTTTTCCAAACATCCACACTTGTAGCCTAACTGATGACAAATATATCTTCTCAATTTGAAACTGAAGACAGACCATCTAAGGAAACATCTGGAAAACTTGCTTGTGGCTTATTTAACACAGAGCAAGAGGCTTCCACATCTTTCTAGTGTTTTAGGAGAGTCGTGTGTTGCATCTTACATAGATTTCTAGGGCTACAGATACATTTGGATATTTGCTATTACACAGCTGTGTGAAAAAATCAGAAAATTAAACTGCATAGGTTACAAACTACTAGATTTAAGGTATAAAAAACTAAGATGAAAATAAGTTAAAATTTTTTCTTGACATTATAGTAATCAATGTGAGGGGATAACATCTCTGGAACAAGAATGCAAATCTGACACTGAAGAAAAACTATTTGTATCTAATACATAAGAGAAATTATTACAGACCTGGTTCTACTTCCTTCAAGATTACTTTCTTTGTGCTGCCAGTGCTAACACCAGTTTATGTCACCAGCTGCCCAAGTTCCAGTTCCACTGGTGGCAGTTTTAATCTTTGATTTATTTTATGTGTTCTTTCCACCAATGTTGGATAGCTTCATTTGCAGCTGAATATACTCCTATATTTTAACTCAATCATTTTCTATCTCAAACCAAATTAATCCATGACCTAACTCAAAGATTCCAAATGCAAAGAGGAAATTATAAGCACATAAGTCTTTCTTCAAATGGAAAGAAATGTCATCATTTTACATAGCATTCACGAGAAACTAACTTCTGTAAAAGATGCAACATACCCACAACTAATGTCTGTTGGTTGGTTGCTTTAGCCAATAAAAAAGCATTCACTCACACTATTTTCTCAAAGAATGAACCCAAGAAAAGTTGAAAAATGTTGGTTGACATTTTAGGAGGCAAACATTATAATCTAGGAAGCAGTAAATTGAGATTTGTTATGCAAATCTTAATTTAGAAGTGTAGAAAATAAAACTAATATTGAATTTTTTATTCTATTTCACATTCTCTGGTTTTTTTAAGTTGTTACTCAATTATAAAGTTGAAAAACAGTACAAATTTATAATTTTTTAATAAAAAACTATTTTACATATATTCTTATACTCAAGAAACTTGGTATTTACTGCCAGTTATTTCTGAAATACATATTTCTCCAATGTGTTTTACTGTATTCAAGAGAGGAATTTCTATTTTATGTTATCAAGATAGATGATTCAACAATCCAAAAGAGAAAGAAAATAAAAATATAGACACACAGGCTTCAATAAAAATATGAAGTCATCTTGATGATTCCATGTGAAAAGTAGACAACTATACAAAAATCACATCAAATCAGTAACTCAGGACCTTAATGTCACACTTACAATGAAAAGCATTAAGCACCAGAGTTTTTGTTTTGTTTTGTTTCCTTTTCCCTAATGAAACAAAAAGGTTTTAAATTCTCCCTCACTCTTAATTTTTGGTAAAAAAGACCTGCCAAATGATTAGTCCATGACAGCAGGTATTATTCTAAGAACTAGTGAAAGCTAAGTCTGTCTGCTTCTGAAACACATGAAATACAAACTTTAAGACAAGCCAAATGTGTGCAAACGGTGTAATCTAGTTAAAAATTTGAAATTAGCAGCTTTTTCTTTATAGAAAGGATGCAGGTAGGGTCTTTTTGTTTGTTTTTATAAGGATTTTGGGAGAAAAGAGAGGTAAGGGTTAGAAAACCAGACTGAAAAGATAAATGAGTTAAATAACTATGTAGGGGCTGGGAAGGTGGCTCAGTGGTAGAAAGCTTGCCTTGCATACATGAGGCCCTGGGTTCGATTCCTCAGCACCACATAAACAAAAAGAAAAAAGCCGGAATTGGCCCTGTGGCTCAAGTGGTAGAGCGCTAGCCTTGAGCTGAAGAGCTGAGGGACAGCGCGCCCAGGCCCAGAATTCAGGCCCCACGACCGGACCCAAAACAACAACAACAAAAAAAACTATGTAAACATAAGCAGAATGCTTATTAAATTATAGTAGTTCAAACACAAAATACAATTTTAAAAAACTAAGGTCTTAAAATAAATGGAAAGCCAGGCACCAGTGGCTCATGCCTGAAATCCTAGTTAAATGGGAGGCTGAGATCTGAGGATTGTGGTTCAAACCAACCTGGGCAGGAAAGTCACTCTGTAAGACTCTTATCTCCAATTAACCACCAGAAAACCAGAAATGGTGCTGTGGTTCAAAGTGGTAGAATGCCAGCCTTAAGCAAAAGAGCCCAGGGACAGGGCCTAGGCCCTGAGTTCAAGCCCTACAACCAATAACAACAAAAAAAAAAAAAAAGGAAGAGGTTGTTTTTATAAATTTCATGTCCCAGCAAACTAGGTGATAAAGAGGGAAATTTTAGGTTCTCTAAGTGTCAGAACAAAGTTGATCTGATTTCCAACACTATAGTCAAATTATATACTATAAAAGGTGTTTTATTATTTATTTTTTATGATTAAAATGGCAAATGCCTACCTTCGGATTTCAAATTCTTTATTGTCTAAATTTTCTTAACATAGGATATCTCCTAGACAGGATTAATGCCACTCCCATTTCAGAAAGTATACATTACCTAGTTAGTGTCAACAGCTAAAATTTATCAGCCTTCAACTATCCTTTGTCTTTTATATATTAAATTCCCTACTCTTCACAACAATTATACTACTATTCCTCCATTCTTCAGCTGAGTGCAGTACTTGGGATCAGACAGTCAACAATAAGTGGTAGTGTTAAATGATAATTTTGCTCACTCCTCCTGGTACTGGGAACATTTTCTAAATGAAACCGATTAAAAAAAAAACAGGCCGGGCACTGGTGGCTCACGCCTGTAATCCTAGCTACTCAGGAGGCTGAGATCTGAGGATCGCAGTTCAAAGCCAACCCAGGCAGGAAAGACCGTGAGACTCCTATCTCCAATAAACCACCAGAAAACCAGAGTGGCACTGTAGCTCAAGTGGTAGAGCGCTTGCCTTGAGCTGAAGAGCTGAGGGACAGCGCCCAGGCCCAGAGTTCAAGACCCACGACCGACAAAAAAAAAACAAAAG